TTAATTGTCAATGTTAATGTATTGTTTCTTTCCGGCCACAATACAGTTAGCAAAATGCAACGTTCTTATGACTCGAGATACAATCGACCTTGATAAGCCACTCTCCAACAAAATGCTTTGTTCGACCCCGGTGGGTTGTGACACGAAACTTGTGTCTTCCTGTGCCTCGTTTAATTCATCGGATATATAAAAAAAGGCATTAAGGCATTCGTGTACCACGCCCACCGATTGCATTAATTCCACGAACCAGGATTGGGACATGGTCATACAAAGGTTACCATGGCTCGAAAAAATGGAAAAATTCTTTGAAAATGTTATCAATGGATTGTGTTTGTCCTATGCCTAAAAATAATTTAAGGAAAAAAATCAAGAACTGAATTGCAGTACAGTCGAGCCTCTCTAATGCGGACACCTCTCTATTACGGACAGTTTCCAATGTCCCGACAAAATTCCCATATATTTTCATTAAAAAACCCCTCTGTAATACGGACTCTCTCTAATACGGACAACCACGGAAACTAAATCTCGGTCCCAGAGAGTAAATGTAGCCATTTTGGATGAGTCATCCAAAATTCTTGAGGTTCAGAAGATAAAAAAATTTAGTGAGTTGTACAACTTTAGATACGAAGAGAGTGGGATAAGAGTGTGGAAAGCTTACGCTGTTGGGGTCGGCAGGCTTATCCCTTGGTAATCTTTTTACATATAGCACCAGTTGCACAAATATATCATTAATGGAGGGAAAAGGATTCTTCACCAACACAGAAATAAGAGACCTTCATCGCCCAAGAAAGTGTCAAGCAAGTAAAGACGACGTTGAAATTGATGATCAGCCATCGATGTTTGTGTGCCCTGAAGAAGGCTGTAATTGCACTTTTGACTCTTTCTCCGAACTTGAGTTGCATACAGACATAGGAATACATGATACTAGGAAGTCGGGAAGTCTTTATGATAAAGTACGGTAAAACGTGGGCTGAAAAATTTTTGAGAACGTGAGACGGTACCTTACAACAAGGTTTGAAATGGGAGAAAGAACGGGCAAAAAAGCCAATTCAGAAGAGATCGAACGTCAAATGCGCAATGCCAGAAATGAACGGAATGAAAGATTGTTTCAAAGAGAGGACTGGCTCACCAAGACCCAAATAATGTTTTTTTTTTTTTCACGCCTTGCTTCACGGCAGAGAACGTGCGGTCAGGATGCTATATCAAAGGAACAGGAATTTGATATTGCAGCAGATGAGAATGACGAAATCGACGCCCTCATTGGAGACTCTGATCGCAACAATTTGCTTGACGATATTCAAAGCAGAATTGGACTAGAGCATCCGATAGTATATGACACATGATCTTTGGGCCTATCACAAGGAAGGAAAGCTACAGGCCTTCAATGTTGCAATGCTCAAGGCTATTCTTCGCCACTACGTACTACTACGTACCTTTCCGAGCAAAAGATAGAAAGACAGACCTTATTAGGTTATTAACGGAGGTTATCCAGAATGCAACGGCTGACAAGAGTTGACTGTCCCTTTTATCAAACAAAATGGGACAACAATATTTCTTCTTGTAACTGAATCAATTAAGCTTTTATAATTATTGTGCAAGTCTAAGTTAATTTTTTTTCGAAAATTCTTTGGCAGGTTGAGTTTTTTCGCATTTGTTATGTGACGTTTACGCGATGACATGAAACGGTGACGCTTAATTCGATAAAATATTTAAATAATCTAATTGTTTTCTTATAAATCCGCCAATCGAACACTGTCAAGCTCACTTCGCTCACTGTTAATCACGAAATAACCAAAGTTCGATGGGCGTCGATAAAACGCGGAACATGGAACATTCCGTAACATTCTGGAACATGCCGGAACATCCGGGAACATCCCGGAACATGAAAAAATAAAAGTAATTTTCATGAAAAAAAAATTAATTAAATAAAATGATAATAACAACATAGTTTTTGTAAAACTTAATAATAACAAAATAACATAAAATAACCAAAAAAAAAAAGAACAACGAAAAATAAAGAAATGATTAAGAAAAGAAACTCATCTCCGAGTATGAGAAAACAATATTTTGTCGCTAATAATTTGTATTATTATTATTGTATTATTTGTATTAAATTATTTGCGACAAAATTCTGATCCTTTCTTGAGTCTACCCCTGTGACTATGCTTCGAATGAACCCACCAAATCGTGTCACATAACGCTAAGGTAGCAATAAAACGATTTATTTAGTAAATTAAAATTTTAAAAGGTTTGGCTGCTGAACTTTTAGGAATATGTCTCTGAAGGTGTATTTATTGAAAAAGGAAGAAGAGGAAGAAAAATATATTTTTTCGGTTAAAAAAAACATATTTTACTTCCGAGCTACAACTATTTGGAGAAATTAACTGTCAAAGCAGCCGGTGTCGAGCATCGCGAATTCTGCATCAATATGAAAATTTGAGTCGAAACCTTCAAGTCTGAATCGCCTTGTGCCACAAGTTTTATTGCATGAATTGATAGAATACCTCTTTATCTTTAAGCAAAACGTGTTTTTAGGTCTAGGTTAGGTGCCACTTTTAAGAATTTTGTGAAATTTCTGAGGCATATTTTGGTGCAGTTTGATTGCTTAATTGAATTACGAGAATAAAGATAACCTGTTTTTGCTGATTACAGGGAGATAAGACTAAATCGTATTGAAACAGTAAGAAGAAGCAATATACTTTCAAACGAGTGCAAATGGTCTAGGTTTTAACGGCCCGTAGTAGCTTTGAACGATCGTTAAAAAAGCTGAATAACAGCGTCTAAAATTTGCATATTTTAGCCGGTAAAGGTCGTTCAGAGATGAAATGCTGAGAATGGCAGTAAAATAAACTATTTTCTCATTCTAACTGCAATTTAGTCATTAGGATGGATAGTGGTATTGATGATATAAATATAAGGCAAAAGTGTTTTCAAGTCTGAAATCGAGTGGAACGCTTTTAGAGGCATTGCCTCTTAAATGCGGACGTAACCATTCAAACTGTTCGAAAATCGAACTTTATCGAACTCAATCGAACCTTATCGAACCGGCCAGTATAAAACACGGACTGCAGACTGCGGACCACGGACTGTGGCTTGTTTATAAAACACGGACTAGGTATAAAATGCAGACTAGAAACTACGGACTGATTATAAAACACGGACTACGGACTGTGTATATAAAAACGGCTTTTAAGTTCGCCAATAGTTGCAGTCGAAGTAGGTGAAGCAACAACTGAAAAGGTGTACAGTACCGCAAATGATCCCGAGACCGCAAATGATCCCCAAAATGGACCGCAAATGATCCTCGACCGCAAGTGATCCCCAAAGTTGACCGCCAATGATCCCGTGAAAACTTGCGGAATGGAATGGATTTTATGGGACTGATTACAAAAAAGGACTGATTAAAAAAAGGAACCTTTTTCTCGCGCCTTCTAAAGAAAAAGGGAAGGAGGACGCTACACCTCAGGTCAATTTATACAAGGCGAAAAAAAAAGTAGAATAAATCTGAAAAGGATATGGTATCAACCGTATTCTTCTTCCTTTGTCAATTGCTTCAATTTTCTTTCAAGAACTGTTTCGTCGCTGAAAATTTAANGAAAAAAAAAGTAGAATAAATCTGAAAAGGATATGGTATCAACCGTATTCTTCTTCCTTTGTCAATTGCTTCAATTTTCTTTCAAGAACTGTTTCGTCGCTGAAAATTTAAGACAGGCAGGACGTTACGCAGAAAAAACTCTATTATTTAAACGCCCAAGCTCAACTTGTCTACTGAGGAATACAAAGCCGGGCACCCTCTACATAACAAGAGCTTTATTGACTTAACTGATCTTTTTAGAAGCGTCGAATTAATTTTCAGAATATTTAGTTTTGATTTTTCTCTGAAGTGTTAATTTTACGTGATAAACAGCAAGACATTGGTTCGTAACTTATGAGTGCCCCAGGCCTGGGAAGGCCCGTTAAAAAACAAGACATGATTTGAAATAAACACACGTCAAAAAGCCACCGAACTTATCAATGTCCACAGGTTTCGGTTTATTTTGAAAGAGCAACTTGCCTACAGTTCATGAACATGTTGCGAATAGTTATATTGACGCTTATATGTATATCCATTTTTTTGCCTTTGCTGGAGACAGTAAACAGGAATTTAAACCTGGTAATGAGAAACGCAAAAGCGAGGCAAGCGGTAGTTATCGCGTGACAAAACGTCGTAGGAACCGTCACATTCACGGACTAAAAGAAAGTCGCTTATAATTGTTCGGATCCATGAGGCACTTTAAAGAAAATTAAACAACCTAAAACCCTTATTTAGCCGGAATGAGAAGCATTGCATTTCAAAAGAGGTCAAAGAAATGCTCTTGCAATAAAGGACAAATCCAGCAAATCATGCCGACCACAAACAACAATAACCGCAGAAAATGCGTGTCATGACCTCTCAGTATGAAATAAGCGGCAAAAATCACATTTGCTCAGTCAAAACGTTTCCCTTCAGGTATAATCTACCCGCCAGAGAAAAAAATTCATTGCAACAAGCAGCATCTTGGTATGAGATAAAAGTCGTGTGTTGCCTACCGACTTCGTTTTACACTTCAATAATTTTTTTCATTTAGTTTTTATTCATGTATTTATTTAAGAACTGAAATTTAGCGTTTAATCTTACTTTTTGTAATAATAATAAAATCGTCACGACGATCCGCTAACTCGAGTCTAAGCCATTCCTATTTTTCTTTCGGGATCATTTGCGGTCGACTTTGGGGATCACTTGCGGTCGAGGATCATTTGCGGTCCATTTTGGGGATTATTTGCGGTCTCGGGATCATTTGCGGTTGGGGATCATTTGCGGTACTGTACAAAAGGTCCGTCACCGGCGGGGAGAATAAAAGAAAACAGAGCCCTGTAACATCTTGTCTATTTGCTTATCAAGTGCCCCGGCCCCGCTTCGCGCTCTCAAAATTTGCAAAGACGTCTTTTTTTAAATTTCAAAATAGGTGACAGTGCACCCTTTAGTCAAAAAACTTACCATAAGGACATGACCCTGCTGTCAAGGAGAAGTCGTCAATTGCTATGTCACCACTGAAATCGCTTCCCACTACGCCTTCAAATGTTACCTGTCAAAGGTGAAATCAGTCCGGAAGAGTCGCTGTTGTTATTAATGTCTTGAAATTAATGAAAAAATATCTTCGAATTTGTCATAAAACTGCAAACTTAACAACAGAAATAAGGAAATGTCGGCTAATAGCAAAATAGATCCTCTTGGAAACAATAAGCGCATCATATTTTGCACTACATTTACGGACTTACTTGCACCACTATGAGTAAGAAAGAATAATCTTGCTATGAATAAATAATGTTACCAAATGGTACATCACTTATATTTCATGTGTGCTTAATTTATAATTAATGGTAAAGATGAAGAATTATAACGGATGCAGTCTTGTCGACTTTTTTAGTTTTTCATTACAGACCGAAGTACAGAAACTTATGGCTTAAGTAAGATTCGGAGAACCATGATAGACCCGAGAACCGAAAGACGTCTTCTGGATGGTGGACCTGCGCACCCTTCAGACCAGAAAAGTGTAGTTATTGAAGGTGCTTTCAGTAAAACTGAAATTACTACCACTTTAAAGGATCGCAGATAGGAATCTACGTAGTTTATATAAATTTAACTAAACAACAGCGAATGATGGCCAGGATTGGTGAAAACTATCAGTTGTAAACAGTTGTAACATACTTTCAACGGTGATCACAAAAAAGTGAGCTATTGGTGGCTTATTGCTCCCAACCCGGTTGGCTTCCCCAATTACCGCTCTCAGAGAACAGCCTTTTACCACCATTGATAGGGTCATTAAAGTTTAAATTCTAATTTAACTCTCAATATTTTCATTATCCTAATTTAGTGTTAAGCAATGAGTTGATAAAAATAAAGATTCGGTTGTTGTTATTGTTGTTGTTAGAAGAGACACAAAAATAACGCACGGCTTACCGTATGCAATCCCTCGATGGCTGATACATTTACGTTGGCTTTACGCCACATGTCTCCTCTATCACCACCTGCAGAGAACACTAAGTTCCCACTTACGGTGACATTCAGGCTTCCAGTAGTTGCACCAGACATATGGTAATAGAACTGAAGGCACATATTCCCAAAGAATTTCATTAGAGGACTGTACAATTTTGCGTTATCACCTGGTTGTCTTGGACTGGATGCTTTTATATACATGTAATAACCTTATAGGGATGAAGATGGTAAGAGAGTAGCAACTTAGTCTTTTTCGGTAGAGGACGGTCCAATTGTGTCATATCATCCAGCTCTCCTGTGGACTAAATATTTCTAAAAAATTCACATGTAATAACCTACAAAGAGGAAAAGATGTAAGGAAGGCAACAAGAAAAAAAATTGACCAGAATGCACTGAAAAAGTATCCAGTTGACTTAAAACAGTATTCTAACAACGTTAGTTCAGCTTAAATGACGTAGAATGATCACCTGAAGTACCTATTAGTAAGTTCCCAAGTTTCCTTTTATTCGTTTTATTTTGAAGACAGACGTATTATTCAGGGTAGAATAAGAGGGCAAATGACAACAAAACCCAAGATGTAAGGAGTAACTGCAACCTTGTAGTTGCACCGATCCGAAGAGGTAGTCAAAATTAGATACTCTCGCCTACATTTAATACACCTGTGCAACGTACAAGCAACAAAAAAAGAAACAAAAACGAGCAGTTTAAAGGGACTATGTCACTCCTGACGCATGCGCGAGTCAAAGAACACAAACTTGAAAAAGTTCTGTCGGAGATTTTGGAAGGCTGTTTTTATCTGACTAAATCTCAGCCATTGTTTGATAGTTAGCGAAGTTTTGTATTAAGAATCGTTCTATGGTGATTACAAAGAATTTTTGGGGGTTATCTTGAAATTGTTTGCCCGTGGAATTTTTTTACGTGGATTTACAGTGTCCTCTTATCAGCGGTCGTTGTGATGGTAGAGAGTTAACGACGGCTACTCCACAATGATCCACGATCGAACAATTTTGCGCGATCAGTGTGTCTTTCCCTAAGATCAAAACACAGACTTGATCTCTCGTGTTCCGTCAGATAAAATCAGTAGCGACAACCAAGTCTAATTGTCAATGAACTGAAACAGTCTTGGTCTTTATCTTTGGTCTAGCGTGTGTTGTAGGTCGTTCATAACTAAGGCAATATATTGTTGCTGAATTTTTGTTGGCGCTCTGTTTTTATGAACGGCATGCGTTTTTACTTCATAACTACTAGTAAAATTGTCTTAACACTTTTATTCTTGATCTACTAGCATAACCAGAGAAGAAACGTTCCTTAAATTCTATCGAAATATCCCCTATCCAAACCCAACTCACTCGTTAACCTCTCTCTAAATTTCGGAGCCTTGGACGTGACAGAGAGCATGGAGAAAGTCATGCGTTAAAAACAATAGAATTTTGACAGTTGAAAGTAATTTGCATAACCTCAGCGCGCATGCTCTCCAGCTAACATAGCCCCCTTAATCTAAGAAAACAACAGCAACAACAACAACAAAAAGAAAGGGTAGAAAAGAGTGACATGTAATTAAATTTGCAAGACTAAAACTAGCGATATTTTCATGAAGAAAATGAAGTAGAAATGCCTACCAACTGACTGTTAAATTTGTAATACGTTATTACAATTCTCGTTGCTAATAGTAGGACTGGCTAGATGTACTGATGAATTAGTTTAGAGCTCACCGGTCAAGTTTCCAGTGGTGTGATCAAAAGAAGGTCCTGTACCACTAGAGGGTGTGCTTCCATTGTGTCGAGTCCAGTCAAACTTGTCATTAATGCCTTGCACAAAACCGTACATTGAAACATCAAAGTTGCATATTATTTCTAAGTTAGACAAAACAAATAAATTCTCATATTAAAAATTGAGCCTTTTTTTTCCTGGGGTCAACGATAACCTCAAAGGCATGATACGATCCTAGAAAGTACAATTACACAGGCTGACCACGAGATAGTTAAGAGCGATGAGGCTTAACCTTAATTATTATTCATTCAAAATATTTCCCCGATTCTGATTGGCTAAAAGCACATGTTTAATTCACCATAACCAGTTACTGATGACCAAATTTGGAAGAAATTTGACTTTAACGAGGAAATGACGTCAAAAATGCAGCGTTTTCGTAGGTTAAGGCACCGTTAACCGAGAAAACCTGGGGACGAGGTTGAGTTGTTTTGGTTGTGAATTTGAAAAAATGGCGGACATTTCACTCGTTTCAAGAGTAATAACTAGGCCAAAAAATAGCTAAAAACATGGCAAGAACAGCAAGAAGACAACTCGAAGGGCGACATCTGCTATTTGGAGAATATTTGTGGAGCTGGACAAACCTAAACGTACACTATCGAAGATGAACTGAACATCGATGGATCGATAGAGGTAAGCATGTTTTAGCTATGTTTTTAAACTAGGAATTATTTTGAATGAATAATAAAACAGTTATTGAATTCGGCTTTCGTATCATATGAAGAATTATGGAGATCTCGGAGGGTGTTATCCTCGATCTCCATAATTCTTCATAAGATACTCAGTCTCATTCATTAACTGTTAATTAACACCTAAGCGTAAGTGCAGGCGTAATAAGAGAACATGCTCTCCAAGTAATATTGGAATTCAGGTCCTCTAAATTGACTAGAAATGCATCCAAGAATGGTTCGGCTGCTATATTTACTAAGACAAGAGGTGCATCGTTTCCAAAATATCTGGGTTGAATGGCTTCGTAGCCAGTTGCTTATTTAATAAGTGCAGGCTTTATATATTTACTTTTTGCTTCCTGCGTCTGAGGAGGCCTTCGCAGGCCCGCCTCTATAACTTTAAACCCGTTCATGATAAGGCCACTAAAATAATTAATAAAAAATTAAAATGTTACAGGAGCCCATAACTTTCTAGCTACTTTGGGAGCCCACTGATTGCACATCAATGTTGTGATCAATTGGCAGCTGTCAAAACAAGGTATCCGCTGACCAGTATCACCTGACCGTATCGCGGGCTCAGGTGTCGACCCATCCAGGTCGAGTATTTTTTGAAGTTATCCGAAGACGAGTTACTAGTTTTCAAATGATCGCAAGCTCATTTTTTTAAATTCATATGAAATATGTTGTGTTTATGTCACTATGGCCTAGCACTATTTAACATTTTATTTCAAACTGACCTCGGACGCGAAAATTCAGCCAGTTATTTAAAAATGCAAGTAGGGAAGACAGATACTTTTCACTTTTCTCACCATAGTCACGCGTTGGTCACGCTTCACGTCCAATTTTTATGCTATGATTGGTCAAAATTTGACAGGTGAGTTCATACGGACAATTTATGCAGCATCTTGCGACTTGTTTACTTTGCCAGCCAAAGATAACAGAGTTTTGTGTCAACTTGTGATGTTTTTAACTGTCTTTTTCCACTAAATGTACAAAATGAAATACAGCCGCTATCAAGAGTCTTCTGTTATTCATGGCTGGTTTGTTTATTGAATTTTTGGTTGTGAGATTCGCCGCTTGTCAAGGTCGGAAATCCGATTTCGGATGCCATCGTTTTTGTTTTTCACCTTGCTGGATGCGTAAGAGAATAGGCCATTTGCACTAAGAGGTCATGTTACATCGTTTTTATGAAAATGAAAGTTATATGATTTTGCCTTCAAAAAACGATTAGTGGGTCATATCTTAAACAAAATAATAGTGATTTGGTTTTTCAAACCCGCACCGTTTCCTTAAAATGAGTAAGTTTGTAGCTGGTCACGTGACCAAAATGTGATTTTAAAATTATGAATTACCTCTTTCTGAACACAAATTTTGCACTTAAAGTTCAAGGGAAATGTTGAAAAGATGATGTAAGCAAGAAATAAGCAAAAAGTAGTTTTGGCCGCCATGTTGGAGGGCAAGAGTATGCCCTCCAACATGGCGGCCAATACAAATCATACTACTTTGTTGAAAAATCAAAGTGCCATAAAATATCTCCCTTAAATGCTTTTCCTGGTGACATTCAGGCTTCCAGTAGTTGCACCAGACATATGGTAATAGAACTGAAGGCACATATTCCCAAAGAATTTCATTAGAGGACTGTACAATTTTGCGTTATCACCTGGTTGTCTTGGACTGGATGCTTTTATATACATGTAATAACCTTATAGGGATGAAGATGGTAAGAGAGTAGCAACTTAGTCTTTTTCGGTAGAGGACGGTCCAATTGTGTCATATCATCCAGCTCTCCTGTGGACTAAATATTTCTAAAAAATTCACATGTAATAACCTACAAAGAGGAAAAGATGTAAGGAAGGCAACAAGAAAAAAAATTGACCAGAATGCACTGAAAAAGTATCCAGTTGACTTAAAACAGTATTCTAACAACGTTAGTTCAGCTTAAATGACGTAGAATGATCACCTGAAGTACCTATTAGTAAGTTCCCAAGTTTCCTTTTATTCGTTTTATTTTGAAGACAGACGTATTATTCAGGGTAGAATAAGAGGGCAAATGACAACAAAACCCAAGATGTAAGGAGTAACTGCAACCTTGTAGTTGCACCGATCCGAAGAGGTAGTCAAAATTAGATACTCTCGCCTACATTTAATACACCTGTGCAACGTACAAGCAACAAAAAAAGAAACAAAAACGAGCAGTTTAAAGGGACTATGTCACTCCTGACGCATGCGCGAGTCAAAGAACACAAACTTGAAAAAGTTCTGTCGGAGATTTTGGAAGGCTGTTTTTATCTGACTAAATCTCAGCCATTGTTTGATAGTTAGCGAAGTTTTGTATTAAGAATCGTTCTATGGTGATTACAAAGAATTTTTGGGGGTTATCTTGAAATTGTTTGCCCGTGGAATTTTTTTACGTGGATTTACAGTGTCCTCTTATCAGCGGTCGTTGTGATGGTAGAGAGTTAACGACGGCTACTCCACAATGATCCACGATCGAACAATTTTGCGCGATCAGTGTGTCTTTCCCTAAGATCAAAACACAGACTTGATCTCTCGTGTTCCGTCAGATAAAATCAGTAGCGACAACCAAGTCTAATTGTCAATGAACTGAAACAGTCTTGGTCTTTATCTTTGGTCTAGCGTGTGTTGTAGGTCGTTCATAACTAAGGCAATATATTGTTGCTGAATTTTTGTTGGCGCTCTGTTTTTATGAACGGCATGCGTTTTTACTTCATAACTACTAGTAAAATTGTCTTAACACTTTTATTCTTGATCTACTAGCATAACCAGAGAAGAAACGTTCCTTAAATTCTATCGAAATATCCCCTATCCAAACCCAACTCACTCGTTAACCTCTCTCTAAATTTCGGAGCCTTGGACGTGACAGAGAGCATGGAGAAAGTCATGCGTTAAAAACAATAGAATTTTGACAGTTGAAAGTAATTTGCATAACCTCAGCGCGCATGCTCTCCAGCTAACATAGCCCCCTTAATCTAAGAAAACAACAGCAACAACAACAACAAAAAGAAAGGGTAGAAAAGAGTGACATGTAATTAAATTTGCAAGACTAAAACTAGCGATATTTTCATGAAGAAAATGAAGTAGAAATGCCTACCAACTGACTGTTAAATTTGTAATACGTTATTACAATTCTCGTTGCTAATAGTAGGACTGGCTAGATGTACTGATGAATTAGTTTAGAGCTCACCGGTCAAGTTTCCAGTGGTGTGATCAAAAGAAGGTCCTGTACCACTAGAGGGTGTGCTTCCATTGTGTCGAGTCCAGTCAAACTTGTCATTAATGCCTTGCACAAAACCGTACATTGAAACATCAAAGTTGCATATTATTTCTAAGTTAGACAAAACAAATAAATTCTCATATTAAAAATTGAGCCTTTTTTTTCCTGGGGTCAACGATAACCTCAAAGGCATGATACGATCCTAGAAAGTACAATTACACAGGCTGACCACGAGATAGTTAAGAGCGATGAGGCTTAACCTTAATTATTATTCATTCAAAATATTTCCCCGATTCTGATTGGCTAAAAGCACATGTTTAATTCACCATAACCAGTTACTGATGACCAAATTTGGAAGAAATTTGACTTTAACGAGGAAATGACGTCAAAAATGCAGCGTTTTCGTAGGTTAAGGCACCGTTAACCGAGAAAACCTGGGGACGAGGTTGAGTTGTTTTGGTTGTGAATTTGAAAAAATGGCGGACATTTCACTCGTTTCAAGAGTAATAACTAGGCCAAAAAATAGCTAAAAACATGGCAAGAACAGCAAGAAGACAACTCGAAGGGCGACATCTGCTATTTGGAGAATATTTGTGGAGCTGGACAAACCTAAACGTACACTATCGAAGATGAACTGAACATCGATGGATCGATAGAGGTAAGCATGTTTTAGCTATGTTTTTAAACTAGGAATTATTTTGAATGAATAATAAAACAGTTATTGAATTCGGCTTTCGTATCATATGAAGAATTATGGAGATCTCGGAGGGTGTTATCCTCGATCTCCATAATTCTTCATAAGATACTCAGTCTCATTCATTAACTGTTAATTAACACCTAAGCGTAAGTGCAGGCGTAATAAGAGAACATGCTCTCCAAGTAATATTGGAATTCAGGTCCTCTAAATTGACTAGAAATGCATCCAAGAATGGTTCGGCTGCTATATTTACTAAGACAAGAGGTGCATCGTTTCCAAAATATCTGGGTTGAATGGCTTCGTAGCCAGTTGCTTATTTAATAAGTGCAGGCTTTATATATTTACTTTTTGCTTCCTGCGTCTGAGGAGGCCTTCGCAGGCCCGCCTCTATAACTTTAAACCCGTTCATGATAAGGCCACTAAAATAATTAATAAAAAATTAAAATGTTACAGGAGCCCATAACTTTCTAGCTACTTTGGGAGCCCACTGATTGCACATCAATGTTGTGATCAATTGGCAGCTGTCAAAACAAGGTATCCGCTGACCAGTATCACCTGACCGTATCGCGGGCTCAGGTGTCGACCCATCCAGGTCGAGTATTTTTTGAAGTTATCCGAAGACGAGTTACTAGTTTTCAAATGATCGCAAGCTCATTTTTTTAAATTCATATGAAATATGTTGTGTTTATGTCACTATGGCCTAGCACTATTTAACATTTTATTTCAAACTGACCTCGGACGCGAAAATTCAGCCAGTTATTTAAAAATGCAAGTAGGGAAGACAGATACTTTTCACTTTTCTCACCATAGTCACGCGTTGGTCACGCTTCACGTCCAATTTTTATGCTATGATTGGTCAAAATTTGACAGGTGAGTTCATACGGACAATTTATGCAGCATCTTGCGACTTGTTTACTTTGCCAGCCAAAGATAACAGAGTTTTGTGTCAACTTGTGATGTTTTTAACTGTCTTTTTCCACTAAATGTACAAAATGAAATACAGCCGCTATCAAGAGTCTTCTGTTATTCATGGCTGGTTTGTTTATTGAATTTTTGGTTGTGAGATTCGCCGCTTGTCAAGGTCGGAAATCCGATTTCGGATGCCATCGTTTTTGTTTTTCACCTTGCTGGATGCGTAAGAGAATAGGCCATTTGCACTAAGAGGTCATGTTACATCGTTTTTATGAAAATGAAAGTTATATGATTTTGCCTTCAAAAAACGATTAGTGGGTCATATCTTAAACAAAATAATAGTGATTTGGTTTTTCAAACCCGCACCGTTTCCTTAAAATGAGTAAGTTTGTAGCTGGTCACGTGACCAAAATGTGATTTTAAAATTATGAATTACCTCTTTCTGAACACAAATTTTGCACTTAAAGTTCAAGGGAAATGTTGAAAAGATGATGTAAGCAAGAAATAAGCAAAAAGTAGTTTTGGCCGCCATGTTGGAGGGCAAGAGTATGCCCTCCAACATGGCGGCCAATACAAATCATACTACTTTGTTGAAAAATCAAAGTGCCATAAAATATCTCCCTTAAATGCTTTTCCTCTCAAATTTCGGGTGTAAGATAATTTTTATGTGCTCTGTCAATTTTTGGCATCAGCAAGATTCCAATTCATCGTTTAAAGGAAGCACTGGTCACGTAACCTCTTAGTGCAACTGGCCTATTATAAAGGCTCAAGCGATCCTGGCGTTACTTGATAGCTTGCAGGAGCTGCATCTCGAAATATGGTAAGCCTGAGTAATTATTGTATTTATATCTAATTTCATGAAGTCGAGCGCAGTTTATGAAGCTAGTCTATGCACATTTGTATTAAGATATGAGACACTGATCTGACCTAGTACGAGGTTTGATGTAAGCCAGAACTTTAAAAAGCCTTTAGTCGATATTACACCGCGAATGAAAAGAAAAAAAAAATTCTGAAGAATGTTTAGTTATAAGTTTGGCTGCAGAGAGAAAGCTTTGAGCGATTTTCTTGTCGCGAGTTCATCTTTGAAAACAACAAACACCGGGAAGCTGGCGGCTTAAAACATAAACTTAATCTTTAAGCTTACAGACTCAGGATTCTTAGAGACACTTAAATACTCATTTGTTTTCGTGAATGAAAATTGTTACCTCTGTAAATGTTGTATCGAATTATATTTCTTTATTGATTGTTAGTAGTCTCAAAAGTACAATTTTCATCGCTTTGCCGTTTGTTTTCAGTCGTTCATGAACATCGCTTGCAGGAGTACTCAAAATGCCGCGCGTATCAAACGCTTTTTAAGATTACACATCGTTCTAAAACCATGAATAAAAAATAAACACAATAAATCCTTTATCATGTGGAAGCGTAACTCTTTTAAAATTTCTTCGCAAATTTGGCGCTTGTCAAAAGTTTTGGCCGTATACTTGATTTTGGAAATTTTTTGAACGGTTTCGCTAAAAGTCAACGCGTGCTTTGATGGTCCTGAATTGAATGAATGCAATTTGTCTTGAAAAATTGTGAACTACTGCATTTTGTACGAAGTCTGTATGATAAAAACAGCGCCTGATAGAACTCTTTCTCCTCAGATGTAATGTATACAGCTTTTTCGAGAAAGGTTGTCGGGAAAAGTGCACGTGACAACCCCCAAAAGGTATTGTGGGTGGTTTTGAGTTCACTGTTTTTCAAAGAAATTTGAAAGAATTGCACGAGAAGCCGTGAACGTATGTTTGCGAGTGCTAAAGGAAAGCAACAAAAGTAGGTTCGACAGCTACAGTGTCAGGGAACACTGTATTGATTATATCCCATATTACCTTTCGGGATTGTCGCGTTTACATTTCTTCCGACAACCTTTCTCGAAATAGCTGTAAAAAGTATAAAAGGTTGGTTTGCATGCACCCAGATTCGGTGGGCAAGACTTTTTAAAGTAAACTTGTCGAACGCAAAAAGCCATTACTGCTCTTAAATGTGACAGAAAACTATTTTTGGGTGTACATATAAGGCTATCAACTCGATGCAAGATTTTTTTTACTCTAAAATCGCTTAGCCTTTCCCTCAAAAGTCACATGAATGTGCCCTTAAGTAAACTGATTTGTGGAACACAAGTTTATTGTTTGATTTAAATTATAAATTTATTAATGAGAGCTTTGCTTTTAGCCCTGGCTAAATCTATATATTAATTATTGTCATTACGAACAGAAAAACGAGAATTTGCCACAATCGGAAAGTGAATCTACTGTTCAAAAGGTTCTTAACACTATGCTTCTTGGTTTCCGAATTAGTAGCAGCTGGTTAGAGCTCTTGCATATATATATCGAACTGCATCATATCAGTAGACATGGCGCCTAGTAAGAGTAGTGATAAACCACTTGACTCCGTAAGCCACAAAATGCTTCACAGCTGCCTTCAGATGATCATATTTTTATGCAGGTTTTAAAAGATAAAAAAATATTTTGCCGAACTTTGATTGGTCTAAGGATATTTACGTCATCTGTCGATAACTTCCTTTAGCTACGGATGGCTGCAGATTAAGCAGATACAGTCTAACCTCTCCTTACGGACACCTCTGTAATACGGACAGTTCGTTTGGTCCCAGAAAAGCCAAAATCATACATTCATATATAAGCTTTCGGAAAGCCGACTACTCCCGTAAAAGAATCGCTAGCTGTCAACGAAACGGTCTGTTGAATACCCTTAGAATGATCTGACTGATCTGACTGCGTGCGACGGCTAAACAGTCTCTCTCAATACATAAAAAAGCGTTGTCAAATAGCAAAAGAAATGAGCAGAACACTTGGTTTTGTTTGATCGTTACGTTTCAGTTTCGTTGAACCGGTCAAAGCAGCTCATATTAAAGACGCGCTCTTTTACTCGATGGGTTTGTGCACTCCATGCGTCGGTTTCTATTTGTAAAACGATGGAAGTGAAGTAAATGCAAGAGAGAATAATTATTCTCCCCTGGTATGACATTTCTTTTTGAAATCTTGTGTCGGTTAACATGTAAAAACATTGAGGAAACATTGTATAAGATAATTATTCAAATTTAGATCCGTTTCAAAACATTAATATGCAGGCAGGAGTTTCAAACCAAGTCGAGCGTGTCCTTATTCTTTACGAACGTAAACGAACAGGAGTACTTTCAGAATTTGACGAAAAGCCAGAACTTCCACACAACGTAATCGTACCAAACTTTCATAGAGTCTTCCTTAATAGTCAAAATAACATATCCATATGCTGACACATGAATAAAGTGACCTTCCGAACAAATATTTAGACTCCAAGGTGACCTCCCATACAAAAAAGTCACTGTGGCCGATTTTCAAAGCGTAAAAGCCAGAACTTCTACAAGGACTACAAAGTCAGCAGTGGTTTTTTATGTTTTACTGACGTCTTTTCTACAAAATCCATATGCTAATACTAATAATTAGTGTACAGTTAGAGCGAAAACGTGAAAATCGTGAGCCACTCTGAACAGTTTTGGCCACTTTTTCTTTGTTTTGGCCTCGGTTTGCTGATCATCGTTTCAAATTTGGCGCTCGGAGTGCGCTAAAGTTCGGCCGGAACTAACATTGAAGTACAATTTTCAATACCAGGTACCGCGGAGCAGGGTTTAGAAAGGGGATGGTTGAGTCGAGACACAAACATGCAAATTGGAATTTACGGTTCTTCCGAACTGGCTGCATCAAAAATTGGCTCATCCTCGTTGTGAGAACCTGTAATACCCACGAGCGATGCAAAAGGAAGGTAACATCGGATTCAACACAAAATAGTTAAAAATAATAATAATGATAACTCAAAGCAAAGATATACTATACGGTTCCTACATCGAGGAGAAAATCTAAGACTATTATCTTCTTACCATACATTCAAGTTTCATTCATTATTTCGAGAAGAGATTGTGAAAATCTTAAGTTAAAGTTGATCTTCCTTGATCGAATCGTAGTGAAGCTTTTCCAGTTCGGAAATTCGCACTAATGTACTAATTCCCTTTGAAACATTTACGACTGATGATGATAACGTTTTTCCCTTCTGCACCAGGACATATTCGGTTGGCCCCTAGTGTAACTGCATTGTTTGAGAAGGAACTTATTCCTCTTGCTCCTTCGTAAGCTATAAATTAAACTTCTCAATTTTAGCATTTTGTTGCCCTTAAGTCGATATAAGCAAAAATATTAAAGATAACCAAAAGTTAAAAATGCGCTCTTTCAAAGAGGCAATTCACAAAGGCAGTTCCCTTTGTATGGTAGTTATCAAATGATTAATGAACTAAAAATACGTGTCTTTCAAACCCTCCTTTTTACTCCCATCCCCGAAGACCGAGTAGCAGCGAATGTTTACAAAGTGAGTAGCTGTCATGGTTCTCCGAGGATGTTCCTCTCCTTACCTTGGCAACTGACGTCAATCTCTCTGACAAATTCATCCAGTAATTTCCTGGCTCTTTGCTGCTTTTTATTTATCTCGTTCTTTTTTTGGTTTATGTTATTGGAGTACTCTGCAAAATGAAGTAACAGAGAAGGACAGGAAATTAATACCCTCCCTAGTTTAATGAAAATGAGCAACGGAATTACATCCAAAAGAATTGGCTAAGAGTGGTAAATTTACATTTATTAAGTACTACAGTTATTCATTGTATTTCCTTAGTTTTCCGAATTTTATCGGCAACAAGAACAGGAACAGTACTTTAACATTTATCCATAGCGCGCATGCCACAACTGATGAGTATGCTGGGCACGTTTTCTTCGCTAATGTTTTTATCATAGTAATAATAATAATAATAATATTAATAATAATAATAATAATAATAATAATAATAATAATTTCTTTATTTACCCTCGGCAGTATTAATTTATAGCACTTATGCTAGTGGGGTCGAGCAAATGACTGAAACAAATAATTAAAATCAAACATAACAGGTTAATAATCCCAACTGGCCGGAGGCAAACCAGCTGGCTATTTAAAAGCGTGGTCGAGGATTTGAACTCGGGACTACTGTGAACAAATCCAGCTAGCGGTCAGAGCGGGACTTGAACTTGGCGCCTCCGAATTGAAAGTCCAGCCCCTAATCACTCGGCCAAGCTGCCTCCTCCTCTGCGATTTGTCGCGAGAGATCACTAGATTTCACAAAGGTTGAGAAGGATTCCCCGACATATTCTCCTGCAGCTGGTTTGCCAGGGGTCCTACCCCTGGAGAAAGGCGATGACATGTCCATAACAGTCAACTACAACCAGATAGTGGTCCACTAAAAAATATCGGACCCAAATTTTGACCAGGGTCTGTTGGTTCTTAGTATGGAAAGCGTTGCAGACTTCACATATATCAATGAACTGCTTCAGTTGCTTGTTCATCCCTGGTCACCATTAAGATGTTCTGGCACGCCTGAGGGTTGAATCTTTGCCCATATGCGCAATTTCAGTTGACGATTCTCAGTTATATCTAAACTTTAGACTAGCTGATGGATTGTTATCTCAGACTGATGCCATTCAAGCAATGGAAAGATGTATGGAGGACATACGGCACTGGATGGTAAGCGATCGTCTATTACTGAATGATCAGAACACGGAATTTCCTCTATTTGGCACTCGTCAACAACTGAGCAAAGTCGAATCACTCCCTCTAAGAGTTGAAGCAGTGGGTATAGAACCCGTGAATTGCGTAAGAAATCTTGGTGCTTGGTTTGATTCGATGTTGTCTATGGAAACTCATATCAACAAAGTATGGAGTTCTTGGATTTTATTATCTGCATAACCTCAGAAGGATTAGAAAACACCTGTCACAAGACTGTCTAGTAACTCTTATCCATTCGTTTGTCACAAGTCGGCTGGACTACTGCAATAGTCTCATGTGTGGCCTCCCGCAGTGTCAAATTTCAAAATTACAGAGAGTACAGAACGCTGCTGCTCGCATTGCTCTTGACGTTTGTAAATTCTGCCATATAACTCCTGCACTGCGACAACTTCACTTGCTACCTGTCGTAAAGCAAATTCAATTTAAGATCCTGCTTCTCACTTTCAAAGCTATTCACGGTCTCTCTCCTCCCTACATCAGTAAACTTATAACTGTCAAACCCAAATCTACTTACGGTCGCCGCTCAAACATAAGTACTCTGCTGCTACCTCCTACACAGAAAATGCTCCCTACACTTGGTGCTCGCTCCTTTGCTGCTGCTGCCCCTGCGCTTTGGAACAAACTGCCTGCTCATATTAGAAATGTTGCTTCCTTAAATAGTTTTAAGAAATCAATCAAGACCTTTATAATTAACGAATCACTTTAAATTTTAGTTTTTACTTTTTTTCCATTCAACATTGTATTTAATTTTATATAAAATTTTTGTAAAGGGCTTTTGATCACATCTGGAAAGTGCGCTATAGAAATTTTTAATTGATTATTAATCAGGGTCTTTCGCATGCAGTGCCGCTGAGACTAGTCTCTGCGATCATTCCTGTTTACGATGCCATCGGTAAATGACAGTTCATATTTAACACTCCAACACGGTAAAATTTCAACACGAACATTTCGTTTGCATAATGTCCAGCAAATCGATCAGTATGGTGGATTACAAACTGTAAGTCCGTATCCTGCTCAGTTGCTTCTAAAATTTCGGCTTAGTGGCTTGTTATAAGCTTTGATCTTCGTGAACTAGTCTGGTCGTTTCAATCTCTTGTTCTATCTTGCTTCGGTTCTGGTTAGTCGTTTGAGATCTGCTCAGCGCATCTGCAATAAGGAGGTCTTTGCCTTTAACATACTTGTCATATTCCATGATTCTACAAAGAATTCGCTGTATAGTCATCAAAAAAGCTTTCCTTTAACATGTTTCTTCAGTATGGCAGCAAGAGCCTTTTGTGGTCATTATTGAGGGTCACTTTCCTACTCATAAGTGTTAATGTATAAAATCTAGTGAGCCCAAATACAATACTTTGCTTCTCTTTCTAAATTTGGCTGTAGCATTTTTCAGTGTCAGTTAATGCTCTCAATGCAAAGTGTATAAATTGGCCGCCTTGCATGAGGCAGGCTCCTAATCCACTTGTTCAGCCACACCGAAGTATTTCAGCAGTGGTGGGTTTAAAATGAAGGTCTGTATTTCATCAAGGCTTTTTGTTTACTTTATTCCCAGATAAAGGCATTGCTGTTCTTCAGCAGAGCTCTCAGTGGTTCTGACTTGGTTAAAAAATATTCTGAAAAACGTGAGAGGTAGGTAACATCACCTCGTAGTCTTCTCAATTCATCGTTGTTGTTTAGGGCAGGTATACACACAATACAATCTTGTTTCTTGGGGTCAGGTGTATGTCCTTTGTCTGTTAGGCCACACCCATATGTATGTAGTTCAGTCTTCTTCAGCCGGAACTTCTCCTTATTAAGTATGATATTATTTCGCTGGAATCGCTTTAACAAGGCAAGCAATTTCTTGTCATGGCTAGCTGTTGCTTCTTTAAAGCTGTCATCTTCACCCCAGATCAAGATGTCATCGACTATAGCCTTTACACTTTCCAATCCTCCTAGATTCTCATCAATTATTCTCTGAAATTCTTCAGGTGCTACACTGATGCCAAAGGCATTCATCCGCCCAAGAGGTTGTCAGCAAGGGGCTTCCTACATCTAATGGTAAAGGCAGTCTTGATAAAAGCTAAAGAAAATACTTTAGTTAGCATTGCCAATTTCTGTAAGCAGATGATCAACAGCTGAGTTTGGATGCTCATATCGCTTGAGTGCGATGTTCAGTGGTCTACTGCCTATGCAGAGTCTAATTCCATTTTTAGCAGAAGGTTTGCAGTTTACAACTGTAGGAGCACTTACCCATTCATTGGGCTCAGTCACTTTCTCAAGTGTACCTTGCTGTTGGAGGTCTTTTACGTCAGCAACAAAATTGTTTTTTAATGCACAAAGAGGGATCTCTCTAAGAGCTCTTTTGTGTGGAATGACATTATTACTTGTGTACAGGTGTAGTTCTCCATCAAACTTTCCTACACTTTCACCAAAGACTTGAGGGTAGTCGTTCGGTCAGAACGGTCTTCAAGGGGAGTGGTGTTGGCACAATTCACTAGCAGTTAAAGGGTTTAGCTGGCCCTGGTACAGCAATAATGTTCTAGATCTCCGTAAGACCTCAATGGGTCTGCGCGTTTCATAGTCGTTCAGGCCAATGAGGGTTGCTAGGTCTCTTTCAACAATTCTAAACTGAATAATCACTTCTTCGTTAGTTTCAGGATTTACTCCTGACAAAGATAGACTTTTCTGGTTTCCAGTGTCTTAATTTGTGGTTTCTTCATCATAGTTAAAAAGAGCAGGCTTGTTTGCATTGAGATTATACACTCCACTGATGTCTTTGAACACATTCCGCACAGGGAGAATGCTACATGGAGAACCAGAGTCTATCCGTTAGCTAACAGGAGTCCTTCTCTTAACGGACAGCAATATAGTAGGCTTGCAAAAGCTTTCTTATGATCACAGTTTTCGGGTTAAGTACACAAATTTCGTCAAGAACTTTATAATAATGAATCCTCACCATCTTCTTCCACTCTTAGTACAAATTATTTTGTTGATGATTTTGATTGTTTGTGATCTGAGTGTTTCTCTTGTATCCCTTCTTGGAGTTGTTTACACTTCTTTGATGGATCTTTGAGTCTTGACAGTGATTTTTGATCTTTCACTTTATATTTGTAGACTGTTCCCCAGGTGGGGCCTAGTTTCTTGCCTGAAAAGCCATGAGCTCATATTTTGCTGGCACAGTAATTACATTTGAGGACTTTCTTAGGCTTATTTTTAGAAACAGCTTTTATGCTCTGCTTTGCGGAAGGTCGGTTTGTACTACACTGGTACTTTTGAACTTTAATTTTAGTACTTTTATAAGCGTTGCCAATTTTAATAGCTTCACCTCTTGCGAGGGTGCCTCCGTTTCCTAGGAATCGTTCTTTCTGTTGTTCATCAAATAAACTGTAAAAAGGTTATCTCCACCTTGTCCAAATTGTCTAACTTTCGTCTACGTAGTTGCAGTCTCTGCAGGGGTTGTCTCTCTAGGTTTTTGCACTTGTTCTTTAAATTTCTTTTAGAAGCAACAATCTCGTTACACTCTGGACTTACTGCTCTTACTACCGGTTCGTCCCGGACATCGCAGTNTGCTGGCACAGTAATTACATTTGAGGACTTTCTTAGGCTTATTTTTAGAAACAGCTTTTATGCTCTGCTTTGCGGAAGGTCGGTTTGTACTACACTGGTACTTTTGAACTTTAATTTTAGTACTTTCATAAGCCTTGCCAATTTTAATAGCTTCACCTCTTGCGAGGGTGCCTCCTTTTCCTAGGAATCGTTCTTTCTGTTGTTCATCAAATAAACTGTAAAAAGATTATCTCCACCTTGTCCAAATTGGCTAACCTTCGTCTACATAGTTGCAGTCTCTGCAGGGGTTGTCTCTCTAGGTTTTTGCACTTGTTCTTTAAATTTCTTTTAGAAGCAACAATCTCGTTACACTCTGGACTTACTGCTCTTACTACCGGTTCGTCCCGGACATCGCAGTTGTTGGTCGTAATACATCGTCACCTTCAAACCAGTCTGAGTTGTCGTAGATCTTTTGGCCTTTAGGACCGAGCAAATCTTGTACCAGTTCGAAATCGATTCACAAGACTTCTTTTGAATATGTAACCACTTTTCTTTTTAAAGGCTCTCAGGCAACGCGATTTCACCGGAACTTGACCAGCCAGGGACGCCAGTACAAGAGCTTTCAAGGGCACCAAAGAACACTCTTCCAGTTTATACAGAGAATGAATTCAAACATACAATCGCTAAACCAATTTCCATTTAAGGTTGATAGAATAAGAACAATTATGATTTGAAATTGATTTACACTTACAATAATTATACTAGTCATTACCTTGAATGTTTTGCTCTGATTTTATTATCACTGGGAACAAGATCAAGGAAACAGTGATAATTGTTTTAAGAACATCCATCTTTGATCTGCGAAAAAAGATAATACGCTCAGTTCGTTTTCAAATGGCACTCGTTGACAAGACGATATAATGAAGAAGAACTTTAAGGAAATTTTCACAAGATTTGTAATGCTCGCATTGGGCGCTCCTGATCATTCATAGAGAAGAATAATATTGTAAGAAATGAGCTGAAATTTGACGAGAAGTTTTAGTTACAGACGAGTCTTATCTTACACTGTCATCTTGAATGTTCTCGATTATATATATCTTAAAATTCCCTACCTTCTATAAGAATCTTTGTAAATATTATTGTTCTCAATTACACCGACACAAATTCTTATGAAAAATATATTTCAAAATGCTCTCATGGTATGAGTTGACAATACCCATCTCATATGCAACAAGCTCAACTTTCTCTTTCCTTCAAAATATTGTAAGAAGTTTAAAGCGCAATCTTGATGATTTCCAGGTTCATTTATTAGACGAACTTTAATATAGGTTTTCATGTTATTGGAGTCACTGAGACTAACACAACTGAAGATAATCCGAAAATTCCATGCTTTTTGTTTGAATATGTCCCGAAGCCTCTTACTAGCTTTGGGAGGCGTTTCACCCTGCCAGCAGCGTCTTTCTTTCTCTTGCTGGATTTTGGCGTACTTGAGAAAGATTCTGCTTGAATCAAGTGAGATCTTTGTTGAACATACGAGGCAGGTTGCTAGGATATGGTTTCGAACCCAGGCCTGTGCTTGCGACAGTGGGCTCGGCTACGTCCATCGGATTATCAATAAATGGATGCTCGCACTCGAAAAAAACAGTTTGACGAGAAAAAACAAGATTGACTAGTCCAAAAGTTTGGGCTGCGGTGACCTAACAAAAAGGTTTGACGTGATTCAGGCAGAGCAATCGCCATCTTGCATTTTACCGAGAATTAGAAAGCAGGTTACGTAAAATCGCGATAAATGGTCATTTTCTGTGCTTGACATGTAAAGTAAGCCATAAATACGCACTTTGTATCATTTCATCCGCAAGTTATTTGTATTGTTGAAAGAAGTTGAAAAAACATGCATTCTCACTCAATAATTGCTTGACCGCCTGCTACTTATGACATCATATCGCGTAACCATAGTAACTGACCATCACTAAACTTGTCTTAAAATGCGCGCGAGGGATAAACGAACAGCTACTGAAAACGTCAGGTGCTGATGTTTCATCGTCTAGGAAAAATATCAAAAAACCTCATTGGGGTGGCAACCCTTTCCCCCCACTTGTAAGTCCGAGGGTTTATTCCGTAATCTAACCCCGTGAAGTTTCAAACGAGTGTCATTTCAGTCTATACTAGAAATTTTTAAAATGA